TGACAGAGGACGCATCAAAAGCCAGTAGAAATATCTAGTCCTTCTCATTCAAGAAAATTTTTTTCTGCCTTTCTATTCAGAAAGCTGTGGTTTATGAAAGATGAGAACATTATCAAATGGGGCGAAAGATATTGTCTCCCTGACCAACTATTCCTCAAAATAGGAAATGTGCCGACGTTTCAAGTCTGTTTTATAACTACAGCATTGTGTTTCTTGGATGTTAAAATGTCCTTTTAGCGAATTTTACTGAAGACATTCAACGTAACTTTGTATCTTCCGATATTCAAGTTGTATTAAAGGTATACGTCTAATGTATAAATACCTGAAATGTTCTCAGGGTATACGTGTGATTGATTGACAAAAGTGTAAGCTATTCTCAATGCATATACCCAAATATGATAATAAGGGATAGATGGCGTGTTTATATATATAAATATATATAAATATAAATATATTTATATGTATATATATATATATATATATATATATATATATATATATATATATATAAATATATATATATATATATATATATATATATATATATATATATATATTATATATTGTATGTATATTTATTTACAGCCTCTCACTAACATTTCCCTGTTCTGTTCTACTACACGTGAGCGTTTGACCGTTCTCTCGCGGTCTCTTACTCCCCTTTGCCACCACGCAGTACACTCGTTTCTCCCGGATTTGCCCAGGTCAAAATGTCTTCCTATCACATGGCTCTGATTGCCCCTGTGTGATGCTGTCCCAGACCTGATTAAAGCGCAGTGCCAGAGGGTTGCACAGGCAGTTAGCGCCGGGACCTGGGGTGTGAGAGCGCTCCCCTTCAGGGGCCTGCTGAGATGTACTCCTAAATTTCTGCTCAAAATGTTGTTGCAAATTGTTATTTTTTTGTCTAAGAATAGAATATCAATATTTAGCTAAATCTATTCCTTTATAAACATTTTTTGTTGCTATCGCTGAAGCTGTGGCGTTTTTCTTTACCACCCAAACATTTTCATTGATCTGCATATGCTTGATAAGTTAAAACCCCAAATCCGTCTTTCTATATTCTCCTATCGGTTAAGGCTAAGAAATATAAGAGCCTGTTTTGCTGTTTTTTGTTGGGTTTTTTTTTTACTGTGTGATGGTACAACGTACTCCATTTGCTATAGGTCGGACTGTTAGGCTCTTAACCTCATATCTTTATCTGAGTGACACGATGTCTCTGTCCATCTCTGATAGAACAAGGTGGAAGCTTATGAACACGTCAAAACAACCCATATGTCGAAACAGATACGTATGTGAACCTAGAAAGCTCACGCTATGTTCCCTCGACTCACCAACCTGACAAGCGTCGTTGCGAGATAGAGGGGCAAAGAGACGGCCCTGGTTTAGCAACTACCCAGCCCAGAGCTTGATTTCTCTTAATGAGCTGTTTCCTTACTTCAAAGGCAATTCTCGGGGGAAAACAATACTGTTAAAGATTACGATAAATGGCAAGAGTATAGCAGCACCGGCGGAGGGTCAAGGCGCGACGCTGTGGGGGTGCTGGGACTGGCGCTGGAAGATGGATGCTGTGTTCTGGCTCATGTTGTTGTGCACTCATGGTTGTGTGTGTGTATTTGTGTTTGAGTTTGAGTGTGTGTTTGTGTGTGTGGGTGGGTGTGTGGGTGTGTGTCTGTGTGTGTGTGTGTGTGCGTGCGTGTATGTGTGTGTGTGTGTGTATGTGTCCGTGTGTGTGTATGTGTGTTTGTGTATAATATGTGTTTGTGTGTGTATGTTTGTGTTGCAGACAGAGAGAAGGGAGAGAGAATGAAAGAGAGAAAGAGAAAGAGAGAGAGAGAGAAAGAGAGAGAGAGAGAGAGAGAAAGAGAGAGAGAGAGTGAGAGAGAGAGAGAGAGAAAGAAAGAAAGAGAGAGAAAGGGGGGGGTACATAAAACGCTATGTTTTAGTTCTACAAAGTTCAAACTGAAAAATGATAAAGTGGCAGAGAAATGGATTGTATATCTATCTGGAAAGGTTCTGCGAAATTAGAAAACACTAAAGTCTGGAGCCAAAAAATTCATTCCCTAATTTACTCAGTGTGCTTAAATGTTTTTAACCAAACAGGTAAATGGAAATAAATGGAAAACCAAAGAAATAAATAGAGTGACAATAGTATATCGAATGGCGCAGGATTAAAATGGGTTGACGAACCGACAGACAGACACAGTTTTATTAAACGGAAGATAAGACGTTTTCGATTGGTAGAAAGATGGAGGAACAGGTGTAAAAAGAAGGACAGAGAACTAACTGACCAGTGATGGCAGCAGAGTAGGCCTCTCCGGCAGCGATGTAGGACACCTGACCTCTGAGGGCCTCGTGACGTATGAGCCTGGGTTGAGCCACGGCAACTCTCCGGTCACCCAGGCCCAGCTCACCGTCAACGCCAAAGCCCCAGGCGTAGATCAAACCAGTAGCTGCAGACAATAATAGGTATTAGTAATAATAATAATAATAATAATAATAA